ATTCCAAAGGGGTAATAGCACATTCATGGTCAAAATTAATAGGACAAAAATGCTAGCGGACCTTAACACTAAATACATATACAAATCACCATCATTAATATTGTAAACCTATATAGGCGCCCACGTACGCACAAAGTCAAGTACAACCCTTTGATCCAATGAAACATCAAAATTGAACATAAAAAAAGATGATTGATCAAGATTAATTATACTTATTTAGATTTTTATTAATTTCAAATGCATATCAAGGGATTAATTTTTTCTAAAAATTTGCAACATTTTTTTTTATAATTATCATATTCATATATTCAAAGAATTAGTCGGGCTCAAAAGAGCCTACGTAGAAATTGAGTCACTGGTGGAGCTAATTAGGGTGGGCATCAGGGCCCAGTCCCCCCAAAGCTTTTGTGAAATTGGAAGTTTGGTCTTTAAGTTTTTAATTTTATTATTTTTTATCTTAAATAGTTTTATTAGCATTTTAGTTATTTTTTATTATTAAAGATTTAAATGAAAACATATGAAAAATATAGATAATATGAAAAGTTGACAAAATCAACATTGACTGAATGAAACTTATTCGACATAGTCTTTTCATAGAATGTTAACAAATTAATAACTTTCTATTTTTTTAAATAGTGTTCTTTAACTTATTAAATATGTTCATTTTTTTTTTCAATTAATAACATTTATATTACTTCATTAACCAATATATATTATCTTATCGTTAAAGATTAATAAATCTTATTTATAATAATTTTTTAAAATTTTTTATCAACTTTTCAATCTTCACAAACACATTTTTTCTTAATCAAGGCTCTGTTATACCTTTAAAAATTATTTCTAAGTCAGCTACTTAATTATCTAATACTAAGTCACCTAATCGTACTCTCCTTTAAATAGCATCAGGACAACAATGTCTTATTTCTATACCCAACTCTTTCCCCATCCCCAAAAGTTCCCTCGTTCAAAAAAGTTCCGGCACTTAATTTGGTCAAAACATAACTACGTGGATGTAAGGTATTTTATTGGTCAAGATTTCCGTCTTATGAAGAGAGAAAGAACAGAAAAAACAAGTTCTCAACGGAAAAGCTGAAGGGCTTATTTGGTTAATGGCTAATTTTATGAAGAAAATTTTTATTAAAAAAATAGTTAAAAAACATTGTATAAAAAGTTAATGAATTTTATGATAAAATTTTAAATTATTAATTTTTTATATTTGATCATTATCAAAGTAAAAATTAGTTAAAAAGTTATTAAATAGATCTTATATATAAAAAGTTTTAAAAAAATTTTATTTAAAAAGTATATCTAGAAAAGTTTACTAATTAAAAATTATATCAAAATAAATAAAAATTAAAATACTACTTTTATTATTTTTTATTATAATATTAAGATATAAAAATATGTAAATAATTCTCTTAGAAGATCGTTAAGGAGGAACTTCCTTTCCCAACCAAACACTTCCTAACCTAAAGGCCTGTTAGGTTTGCGAAGAACTCAAAAGGAATTTTTGGAGGAGGCTTAAGCTCATGTAGTCAAGTATACTTGGCTTTAGGGGTATTCACAGTGTGGTTCGATTCGGATTTTAATCTTTTTTAATCCAATCCAATTTAATCGGTTAATAAAATTTTTAAACCAATTCAATCCAACTTAAATCAAATCGGTGTGATTCAGTCGGATTGATCGATTTTTAACACTATTAAATATATGAGATAATATAAAAAAATTTTAACAGTAAATAGAAAATATAGTTATAAAATACATTAACATCTAAATTACTAGAAACATAATAAAATGCACAAATTATAAACAAGTTTTTATAGTCATTTACAATTGTAAAAATTGAAAAGATTTGGAAATTTTTCTTGACTAGATCACTAGAGGCATCAAGAATAATAAAAGATAACTTTAAATTTTAAATGCAGTACAAGTAATTCTTAAAGGTTAAAACTAATTTTTTTTCCTTAATGCAGCAAATGATTCAATCCCATCTTCTAAACCTTGTTAAAAGCAATTAAAATTTAACATAAATGTCATTAGGAATGATTAGAGGCATTCATAATTAAAATTTAAAACTTCTTAACCAAATATCCAAAAATAGTAGAATATCAAATTTAGTTCTATTATATGATTTTACGACTTCTAGAATTATATTTCTTAAAATTTAATTAAGAGAATCAGAATGTTATTTTAAGAACAAATTAACAATTTAGAATTATCAAAATAGAGTCATAGACTAGTTATAAGAAATAGAGTTACAAGTGAATTGGAAATTTAGAATTAGAGTTAGAATGCATGATTTAGAAAGCAAAATAAATTAGAAAATATAGGGATATTCTATTTTTATTTTCAAATTAAGTTAATGATATTATCATCTTATAAAATAAGAAAAAAATTTAAAATATTACAAAAAAAATACTATATTATTTAATTAAATTATTGTGTAATTGAATTTTATTTTGTAATCGGTCGGTTCGGGCAGTTTTAAGATAAAATACAAACCAAACTAATTATATCGGTTTTAAAATTTGATAATCCAAACCAACTCAATTTTATATCGGTTTGGTTTAGTTTTTTATTGGATTGGATCAATTTAGGTCAGATCAATCGAATTGGATCGGATATGAACACCCTTACTTGGCTTGGTTCAAAATTCAATGATTTTTACAGAAAAATCAATGCTGTAATATAATCAATTTTGTAAGGAGTATAATCGATTTTAAAGAGAACATATTGATCTTATACTCGATTCTGTTGGGAGTATAATCAATTACATAAGTTTTTGTTAGTATAGTCGATTATATATATTCAAGATGTAATTGATTATTTATTCTCATAAGCTTTTCTCCTGAGGCTTTTAAATTAGGAAGCACATTTAGGTATACATAATTAATTATGTTTCATGCCTTAAGGGCTTATTTGATATGCATATCTTTTTTTCAAAAAAAAAGAATACGTGGAAGTCACACAACATATGACTTGGTTTAGTTTAGGAAATAAAATTTCTTAGCACAGAAATTTAAGTGCAATATAATCGATTATAAAAGAGAAGCAATTGATTAGGATACTGATTGGAACATATTTTAATTCAATATATTACATAATATATTTATTAAAAAATTATTATTTTTTAATCTAAAATTAAAAATAAAAAAATTTAAAAATACAATCATGAATATAGAGTAGAAGAATCAATTTAATAAGATTATATTTATATTACATTTTAATAATAAAAATATATGAATATGAAAAAATGTGTTAAATTGAGTGTGTATGAAGTATATATTTTTCCAATCAATTATATTGCAACTTTTTCAGTATTGGTTTTTTTCGGAAGTGCATACCAAACAAGTCCCGAATGTTTTCTCCTAAGTGCAAACCACAACTCATGACGTTTTAGCATTGGAATTTTTTGTGAACCAAACAAGCCTTGGTATGATTTCATATTGAGCTGAAACTGAGTCGAACTTTCTTGGGTGCAAACAGCTAATCCCGTTATTAGAAAGAATCTTATTATAAGTTAATTCTCTGTTTATCCCAAAGGGAATGTGATTTTTTACTCAAAATTTCTCTTTAATTAATCTCTTTTTTCTAATTTTTAAGAGATGTAAATATTTTTTCTGTTTCATTACTATTATTTAACTTTAATTATTCTTATTATATAAAAAAGCTTTTTTATCTTTATTTTTTAAGAATAAAATAAATAAATACATAAATTATTTCAAATATTTTAATATGTAAAAAAATAGACACTAATTAGTTTACCTTCTAATTCAACACATTATCTAATATATTTATTAAAAAATTATTATTTTTTAATTTAAAATTAAAAATAAATAAATATAACTATATATATAATATACATGAACTAATTGATATTATATTTCAATAATTGAACTGAATAAATGTAAAAAATTATATTAAATAAAAAAATATACTAATTATTTTCTAAAAATAAAAAAATTAGAGAGAAAATAATATATTAAAAAAGTGATTAATTTATAAACTACCTTATACAAATTGCACTCTTATGAATTATGATCAATAATGAAAAGCAAAACCTTTAATATTGAGATAGTCCTCCTATTAATAATTATAAAATAAAATTTTTAATATATATTTTTAAAATATATGTTAAAAATAATTAATATATTTTTAACATTAAATTATATAAAAATAAATTTTAACTTTAATTTTAATAATTAATTAAATTAAAATACATAACATCAATATTAAAATTAATATTAATTTTTTATATGTTATATAAATTAATAATTAAAAATATTAATTATACCCTTAATTTACATTTTGAAAAAACAAACTAAAGATATACTCATAAAATCTGTAATCCGCCAACAACTATCGCAATATATTACAAGTAGCTGTGCCGACCGGATGAGGGTGGACATAAACAGACCGCATGGAGACAGGTAGGGCCATAGGATCGTCCAATGGACATTGCATTGTCTTTTTGGCAGAGATTATTGTGCCCTGCCCACAGGGCTTTTACAAGAAAGAAGCTCTGCCTCTCCATGATTAGCCTTTTTAGGGTTTTTGCTTTGGACTGCTAAACTCTCAGAATTTTATTTTTTTGGCCAACGCCAAACTCTCAGAATCAAACAAAAGAAAAGAATATCAAACATTCAAGTTGAATGATTCAACTGAGATTCTTAACCAATGCTTTTTTATTGTTAGAAAAAACAGCGTGGGAACCCAAAAGCTGGACCTGGAGATACACACGGCCTTTTAGAGTTTTGCAAGGTCAACGCAAACACACACACATATCTAACCCTATATGCCAAACACCAAACAAACAAGTTTCTGCCACACAATGGAACAACACAATGGTTTCTCCTTCGCGAGATGTCTCAACGATTAAAGTTTCCACCTTTCAAATTAGTCTCTAAATTTGTTAAAGAGGTTCAGTCGATAAAGTACAACGAACAACACTCTACTCTAACTAACTACCAAATATAGGAAACAATACACAAGCACAAGCATTTTGCTCTTAAGTTTTATTCTTCCATTAGATGCAGAACAGAAGGATACATGTAAACTACTAGATAGAGGAAGAAGCAATAAAAACGTTAAAAGCTTTGCTAATTAATAAACATGGGGAGACGATGAAGGGATCTCCATAAAATTCTTTCCAGGTGAAAGAAATAAAAAACCTAAAAACAGAACTTGTGGACCAACAAAGAAAGCCCATAACTACTTATCTCTCTTGACTGATGTTTCATGCTTTGAATCAAGCATTCTGAACTCTAGCTGCCAAGGCACTCATAAGTTCCGGATACGGGAAAATATCATCCAACATGGTGTCCTGACCCAGCTGTAGATGGTTCCCGGCCGCCGGCACCTCAGAATACATCTGGGAACTGATTCCGTTGAAACCTTGATCAAGTTGCTGCGGACCTGCTTGATAATTAAAACAAAAATCAAACTGCTCGTTCTTAAGCTCCTTCTTCATCCCTTGGTTTGCTGATATTCCAGGTGATGGAGCTACGGCCGAGACCTCAGAGTAAGAACTTAAGCTCTTTGTAGAGAAATCTTCGGATTTCTTCAACGTGGGTTTTGGCAAAAACCCTTGAATTATCTCATGTAAGAGGCCAGAATCAGACGGTTCTTTTGGGAAGAATTCCATGGGGTCAGAATGACTACCATTGGATGTCACAGAACCATCAGTAATAGATCTCTGATTGCTTTCGGCTGTAGGACTTGACATGGAGGAACCTGTGAAAGTATTTCCTCCACCGTAACTCCCACGTTGAACAGTGGTGCTGGAGGAATTCGTAGAGAGACCGGCGGAGAAAACGGTAGGAGAGGGAAAAGTCGATGGCTCAACAAGAGACTGGGACGGCGGGTAGAAGGATGGACCAGAAGAAGAGTTAAGAAGTTCGCGTAGGAGAAGCACGTTCAGAGAAGAGTTCCTCTGAGGTGCAGATCCACCGGAGAAATGAGAATCGGCAAAGGACGGCCAGTGAGATGAGAGTCCGAACTGGTTGCGAGAACCGTTCAGATCCCTAACTGACGCCTGAGAATGTTTCGTAAAATTGAAATGATTAAGAAAGATGTCCGGAGTTGAGTGAGGCTCAGTGGCAGGATACACGAAATTAGTCCTCGCCTTGATTCCGCGCATGGCACGTGCCGCACAGTCGTAGGCGCAGGCAGCCTCCTCAGCCGTGTCAAAGGTACCGAGCCACCGTCTCTCTTTGGACTGTGGATCCCGTATCTCAGCAGCATATCGACCCCAGGGCCTGCGTCGGACGCCTCGGTACCTCATAGTCCCACCAGACCCACCATTTTCTTTGAGGGCCCTCTTGTTTGCTGATGTCACAGCGGCAGTGGTGGATGCGGTGGATGTTGTGGTGGTGCACTTCTTGGGTTGGTCGGTTAAGTTGTCGGATTCCGGGATTTGGGTCATGCCGTTAAGCCTCCTGAGTGCTTCTTCCATGGCAGAATATTTGTGGTGGAAAAAAAATATAGAAATGGGTTGTTATGTATCAGATATAATTCAGGAATAAGAAAAACCAGAGCTTTTGGCACCTGAAATGTGGAGGAGTGGGATGTATTTATAGTCTAGATATGACTCATTTATATAATACAAAATTTCAAAAAGCTAAGATGCATTTAACGACTAGGATCTTTTATACAGAGCCACTGTCTGTGGATCGGACGGTTGTAAAAATTAGTTACTATCTTTTTAAAAAAACAAAAAATCGGAACGTGTGCAAGTATACCATCGGACGTCGGGGATGTTATTGTCCTTAAATTCCTTTATTCCGGTGGTCCCTTCGAAGAATTTTAAATTAAAGAGAAATAATTTGGGGATTAAATATCTCAGTACTACCCTATACTTGTACTCCGAGTCCGGACCACCCACCTTACCTCCGGCCAAAGAATACCTTTTTGTTTAGGAAAAAAAATTATAAAATATTTTTAATTTCTTTTCTTAATAAATTTCCACATTTCTTTATTTACATGCGTATTGTAACACTTTTATTGTTTATTGTGTGATTTAAATCTTAAAATTTTCTACTTTTATTGAAAAAATGATTATCACCAACTCATTTTATTGTTGGCTTTATTAATAAATATTTAATGAAATTTTTTATCAACTAAAATAAAGATCTTATTAAAAAGAATACAAGAGTGTTCATTACAAAACCATCGTACGAAACAAATTTTTAGGTTTAGTGATTCGTTTTGTAAGGTTAGTATATGAGTTGAGTTGATTAAAAATTTAATTCTCATTGATTATTTAAAATAATTCCCTTTCCCTTGTATTTTTTCATGTTCAGAGAAAAGAAAAAAAATAAAACCACCGTACAATAGCATAAACTCTGGTTTACAAAACACACCATTAAAAAGAATGCAGCCCGACAGAGGAGGAGAGCGAGGGGGATGAGGAAATCTTTTAACTAATCTAATGATACTTTTGTTAATATTATAATTTAATTAACTAAAATTTTTTTTTATTTATCTCAAACTGAACATATTTTATTAACTCTGAATGCACTTAATTTAATTCAAGTTTATACACTAAGAACCTTGCCATTAAAAACATATTTATCAGTAGACCAAAGTTAAAGAACAACTCCTCCTGTCATTAAGTTAAAATTTAATTTAACCATTACTTCCGTTAAGCCTTACTTGTCATTAATTAAAATTATGAAATATTGTTAGTATTCCATCCGTCCCACAATATTTTTCATATTTTAACTTAAATTTTTTATTTAAAATTAATTGTTTTTTTCACATCCAGTAATTAATCTCTAACTCTATCCTTCCTTTCTTCCAATATCAAAATAATAAAAAAAAAAATATTGTTAGTAATGTTATAAATTAACAAAAATATTTTATATAGTTTAAATTGCAATAAACTATGTAAGTTAAACTAACAAAAAATGAAAGATAGGCTCCTAAATATGAAGTCATCTTTTTTCATTAATTATTATTATTATTATTATTTTAATAGTCTAATATAATTTGAAAATTTTTAAAAAGTCAAATAAACTTAAGAATAAATATATAAATGCTTTTAATTTTTTTATTAGTAAAATAAAATCTTATTATAAATAAAGTAGACCGAGTATTTTCACCTATATTTAAATACATTATACACTGTATATCAGACTTTAATAAACTAAAAAATAAATACTCTTAATTTTTTTTTAAACATTTTTATTATGAGACTGATAAAACCATTACCCTTAAGAAAAAAAAAAAAAACCTTCAAATATAACTAACTACCCTTACTCCATAGGCCAAGTTCTCATAAATACTCTTAATTGATGTACACAGTAAAACTAAAAATAATTACATTTGATTTATATGAGACGTTGAGAACAGTAATCTTTCACACTTTCCACAAGTTGTCCTTAATGTTTTTCCGATTTCCATAGTTTTGCCTTGTCAAACTGTGAAAATGACTATTGGGCTATAAAAATCAAAACGAAAATGAGTAAAGAAGGGATGGATATGTGGGTTTGCCAGCTAAGAATTCCATCTTTATCTCAGAGTAATTGCCTTCGGCTATTTCCAAGAGGTAATCAAGGAAAAGGAGGAAATTTGGGGTATACTGATTGATGTGGATTGAAGATTTCAATAATATTGTAGGGGAGTAAAGAGTAATTAAAACATCTGTCTTTTCTCTTGAAAACAACAAAAAAATCGAAACATTTCTGTTTAAGGATCTTACATCTACTCCTCTCCGTCTAACATCTATAAAAGAGTTGGGTTTTTTGGGCAAGAGGATAAAGTTAATTGCTTTGTTGTTGTTTTGTGTGTCTGGGAAGTTGAAGAGGGCTCTTCCTCTTGGGTCCTGGAGATTATCATTCTGAATGATTACATTACACTGGCGGCGCTCAGAAGTTGTTCCTCCAACTTTGGTTTGTATTATTTTCATCTTTTACTTGGGGGAAAATGAGTTTTGACATTTTGTGGAAATGAGTTTTGACATTTTGTGTAAAATTTTGGAGGATTCGGTGTGAAGTGGTGTGAACCCGTGTGTGTAAAGATAGGATGGGGTAATTAGGGTTTGGAAACCAAGGATTTATGGTCACATGGAGTTGTCTGAATGTAGGGGGTTTATTAGGTCCTTAAGGATGAGTTTTTAGGTTTGGAGACTAAAGTTGTTTGTGGCTTGTACCCTTTGAGTCAGAAAAGAGAAGGGAGATGTCCATTATTCACTGCTGAGGTTATTCCGTCCAAATTTTTGTTAAGATTATCAATTTAATTATTATTTTCTTAATTTATAATTTTTTAAATAATTTAATTATAATATTTAAAAATATCTATTTATAAATTAATTTTAATCTATTTAAATAATAAATATTAATTATTTTATTAATTATAAACTATTTTAAATAATCAAATTAAAATAAAATTTTGATTTTTTTTTTTTTTGCCGTAACCACTGCCATTATACACACCGAAACATAGGGCTTTTGGTTTCCTGCTAGAAAAGCCTCTCTTTTTAAGATTTTATAAGAATATTTTAATATTTATACACCTCAATATTATAATAAATAAATAATAAAAATAATTTTTTTAGCTTTTTTGTTATTCAATACAAAGCTATAAACTTTTTTAAGACATCTTTAGTTAGAACTTATTTTTTTATCCATATAAAAGTTTTAATTGTTAATGCAACACTTATAAGTGCATTGCATTTATTCATATTTATTAAAAATAAGTGTTTTTTATTTAAAAAGTTGTGGATAAATCTTAATTATTAAAAATTAAGAGATAAATGATAAAAATTTTATATAAATATAATGAAAAAATGCATATCAATCCTAGATCTCAAAAAAATTAAAGTTCTAACTTTAAATTTATCATTTTATTTAATTAAAATTTAATTTAAAATTTCAAAATCTATATTATTAAATATTGATACTAAAATTTAAAAACTGATTGAATTTTTTATTTTTGAATTAGGATTTCGGTTTTTGAATATAATTTGAAAATTATAAAAAAATTGAGACTGATATACACTAACTTATCTAAATATAATATATAAGATTTATATATAAATAAATCCTTACCCAATTTAATTGTTCTCTTTAATTAGAGGAGAGGAGTGAGTAGGAAGTTTTTAATAGGGGCACTTGAAATTAGTATAGAACTTACTTCGTCCCAGGACAAAAGAAAAAAAAAATTAATGCTTGATTAAAATAAAAATTGATAACTAAATTGGATTATTTGTCTAAAGAAAAAATACGACAAGTAAAATGAATTAAGCATAATGCTGATTTGTATTAAAATAACTGTCCCTAAATTATTAATTTAAATATAAAATATAAACATCTACTATTCACCGGAAGTATTAATACGAGAAAAGTAATATATGTCCAAGGTCAAAGTCAATATAATTTTTTTATTAACTTTTTAATATCTAAAAGTTATATTGAATTCTGATTAATTCAAAATTGAGTTGCGTTAAATCCCATAAAAAAATATCAATCTCTTAATGTTTATTTTTTCTTTTTATAAAACTTAAATTCAAAATTTTATTTTAAAAAATCAAACTCATTTTATTCATATCAATAAATTGAGAAGCCAATATAATTCATTTACTCTACTAGTATATTTTCTTAAAGGATAACATCCGGGTGTGCACACTCCATATGAACAAAAAAAAAAAAACCCATCACCCGATCTAACTTTTTTTTTTTTCTTTTATGTGAGGGGTGCACACCCGGGTGTGAAATCCGGGTGTGCACCAATCAATTTCCTTTCTTAAAAGATACTAGTCCAAATTAAACCATAGATAATTTCTTTGTGGGCATTTTTGTCATATAATCTAACAGTCTAACCCCTGGTGAAGCCGAGGAGCAAATCCATTTTTCACGTTTATTTCATGTTTAATACTTTTGCCCGTCGAAGAAGAAAGTCCTGTTGGAAATCGAAGTGGTTATCTAGAAATAGAGCTTGATTGGCCTAGTAGTCGTTTTGAACGTGTTATTTATTTAAAATGAGGTTGAGCAGATGTATTACATGAAAAAATAAATTGTCCATCAATTAGCAAAATATTAATATAGCAGATTTTGGGAATTTCATGTCATATAAAATTTTTTCAAAATAAATATATTTTTTGACAATTAACCTTCGTCCACATCAGCATTATGTTGACAGGACAAAAAAAATATGAAGACAAACAAATCAATTATTTGAGCTATATATATCAGTAAATCATTTTTTTTATCAACAACATAAAATTTTATTAAATAAAGCACAGGTTCAGTAAATCAATTTCAAATTTTATCATACATTTTTCTCTTTTTTTAATTTTTTTTTTTTACTGCCAAGTGTCTCTAGTTTAATTATCTTATTATCATATACTCCCTCTATAACAAAATAACTGTAATTTAACACAAACTAATGACAACTAGGCACATGTCACTCACATAATTTAAATTAAAATTAACTTTTACTTTTTTTTTTCAACAAAAAAGTAGAAATCATTTTTTTAATCAATGGATCCAAATGGAATATATATTATTAAACAGTATTACTCTAGAACAAAAAACATTAGCTAGCTAACTG